AGAGTCTGATTGAACATGCCCCCGGCCCCCGTAGCCCCCTGACCCCCATGCACCATGCCTCAGCAAACCCATGCAAATATCTGGATGGAAATTATTGCACTGGCTACTAGGAGACCCTCAGGTCCCTTTCTGCCTGGTATTTACCTGCATGAAGTTCATGTCTACCAGAGTTCGAAAGGTGGCTTAAAAACAACATCTGAAAAGTCTTCTAATAGTCCATGACTAATGGGCTGGACTCAGCTATCCAGTAAATCGTCTGCTCTTGGAGCAGTTACAGTGACGATCCTCAGACCCCCTTATCAGCACTTGATGCTCGTGTAAACCAGCTCTCATTAATGACAGGATGCGATTGGTGACGCTACGCAGGCCTGCGCCTGCTGCCCTCATCCTACTCTGAAGTCAGCTGCTAATAGCGGTGCTGACTACCGACATAAAGACAGGTGATGGGTTATATAGACATGTCTAATTTCAAGCAGTTGATGTCAGTTGTCATTTCTGCCAGAAGGCTTCTGCTGTTCTTGGTCATGGCAGAGTGGGCCTCACGGGTTTGACTGGTAGCCCTGGGGCATGGCTACATCCCTACCTGAGAGATTTTAATGCCCTACAGCAGAAGATGTTGATGGGATTGGGGACTGAATCAGCCTGTAGATGTGTTTAAATTTAAAAACCTGTTTCATAACACTTAATAGTAGGATATTTTCTTTAAAACCTTGATCTCCAGCTCTTCCTGACAAGTTGGAAGATCCCCCTACAGCTGGATATTCCACATGCCACCAGTTGGCTGGACATGGGTAGTGGCTGTTCCCTTTGGGTGAGGCTGTTCATTGCGCCCCAGTCTCCACCACTCTCTGTCACCCCACACCTGGCCCACTTTGTTTATTTACATCCCATGTCTGGCTTCTGTGCACATTTGAATCTGTGAGCCAGTGACAGAGTCTCATTTGATTTTTAAACATCTTTAAAAGGAGAAAAGAGATGGATTTAGAGGGTCCGGGGAGTGTAGGAAGGGCTCCTGCTTGGAGGTCAAGGGCCCTGCATGTGCTTGGGCTCTGCGGCCTCTGGCCCAGCTGTGCGGAGGGAGAGTGGGCCGCGTGATGCTGTACTCATGCCTGAGCCCCCAGATGCCATCCGCTCCACAGCCCCAACCTCTCTGCGGTGCCCCTTGGGTTTCCTGCCCCCTGCCTCCTTCCCAGGGTGGGAAAATGAGGGGAGAAAAGCTAATTTGAAAGTTTCTGGATCTGGTGGTGCCTGGACGCAGGACAAGCTGCCCAGCTTTCCTGGGCCTCAGTTTACAGAGAAGGTGGGTGGGGGTGTGCAGGTGATCTCCGAGGATGCTTTTCTTTCTGACAGTCTGAGCATCTGCAGGTGCCTGTCGCACATCCTGGTGACATGGCCAGTGTCCCCACAGCCTGGGAAGAGTTGAGGGTTCAACGTGGCATGGGGGAGCGGGAGGGCAGGAAGGGGTGGGGGCTGGCATACTCTCGCTGGCATTGCAGCCCCAGCTCCCCACCTCCGAGCTGGGTGACCTCAGGTAAGCGTCTTCACCTCTCTTTATCCAGTTTCTTTATCTGTCAAACTGGTACAACAATATTCATCTTGGAAGAGTTCTTGTTGAACTAAGTACTATCGTGAATGTAAAGGACTTAGAGCCTCGCACCAGCACTCACAAAATGCAGGTGTGGCCACGTAAGTGCGGGGTCCCAAGGCAAACAAAGCCCCCTCAGGCTCCGCTTGCTGCTCCTTGGCACCGGCCGCTTCCCCTGATGTGCTGGTGGCCGGGCCTCCCAGGTGTGGGGGGTCCACGGCGGCCAGCAGAGCTCACGGACCAGGAGGCCCTCACTGTTCCAGGTCCCAGCACTGAAAGTGATGCCGGACCAGAGGGCCTTGCGCAGGGCTTCCAGGTGCCTGGGAGGGGGGTGCACCCCCACCCCACGAGTGTGGCTGGGCCTGACCCGGTTCTCCAGGGGTCTCCTCCACCTTCTCCTGCACTGCCTCCACCCCACTGGGTACGTGGCCAGCTGTTGGGGTCAGGCTGCCAATGCTGGACTCACACAGAGAGCAGCCCCCAACAGCAGCACCTCTGTTCTTCCCTTTGGAGTCAATGGGGCTCTGTGTGCAGCTGAAAATGCACGCAGTGTGGGGTGGGTGGGCTGGCTCCGGGCACTGTGGCCGGACCAAGGGCGGAGGTGCCAGGAGTCTCACTGGAGAGACGGTGGACAGCAGCCTTCACATGCAATTTCTCTGATGTGAGAGGTTTGGAAAGGCTTCGGATAACCCTCTGACACCCTGGACTCAGACTCCGGCTCCACCTGGAACTGTGGCCCGCCTGGCCCAGGGGCACTTCTTAGCTCGCGGAGCATCTTGGGCAAGCTCACCCCGACTCGCTCCAGACCCAGCTGGCAGAGCCCCGGGACCTTTCCACGCCTTTGGGTTCTGGAGGGACTTGCAAGCTGCCACTAATTGGATTTGACTTTGGACGGCTTCCTGTGGACCTGGAGGATTGCAAAGGGCCACCTGGCCTGGGGTTGGCGAGAAGCCTAAACTTTTGCAAGGCCGAGAGGTTGGGCACGCAAAGAGTCCAGTGCTCTTACCTTCTGAGGGTTGTGTGGCTTGGGGAGCAAGGAGAAAGAAGCCGAGGTACCTTGTTGCTCCAGAACAGGCATCTGGCAAATGCCATTGCATCAGGCAGGGCGGGCGCGGCGACTGGAGGAAAGGCCACTTGTCCCTCAGCTGGAAGCTGAGCTGGGTACACACCTGCAACCTGTCTGCATGTGAGCCACATGCTTCTCCTTCCTATGTATGTAGCAGGAGAGGAGAGATGGACAGAGAGGCTGTGGATGGATACAGAGCACAAAGCCCCAAAGAGCACAAGAGTGTAAAATGCATCCACCCAGCAAACGTTTCTGGATCATCTCAGTTATGCAAAAAACTGCTGTGTTAGATAGGCGGCAGGAAGTGTCCCTCCTTCCAGGGCTGCAGGATTGCAGGACTGCAGAACAGGATACTGGACAGGTGGGCTTCAGGCGCAGATCTGAGTGGGAGTCCTGCACCTGCCATTTACTCTGTGGGAACTGAGACAGGCCCCGTGCCCTCTCGAGCCCCAGTTTCTTCCTCTTGGAGGTGTCCTGAGGGTCCGAGGAGCTGGGACGCGTGGAGCCTTCAGCAGGGGTGAGCCCTCAGGAAGTAGCAGTGGCCGTGGGAGCCATGACGGCTGCCTGGCGGGGATGTGACACGCGTGTGTGTGCCTCTGTGTGAATCCTGGGGTTGTCTGGAGCAGACGCAGATGCTGTGTCCTCACATCGCCTTGTTCTCACCGTCAACACTGCGCTTCTCACGGTGCGGTGACTGCTGGGCCCCACACTGGCCCAGGGGCGTCCACACGCACACCCACAGCCCGCTCTCCCCCTGCCCCCTGCTGCTGTCTTTTCCAGCGTGCTGTACGATTTACTTCCTCTCTGTTTATTATCATCTCTGCCACCAGAGTGCCAGCTCCAGGAGAGCAGGGGACTTGTCATTTCTGATTGCTGATTTATGCCCAGTGCGCAGATACGTTCTCTGTGTCTAAACGCCAACAGCACCTGACACAGAGTAGCTGCTCAAGAAACACTGTGGCGGGATTAACAAATAACTTACCAATACTTTGCGAAGTTACTGAGCAGATGAAAGCGGAGGTGGGAAGGCCCACTGAGAGAGAACCCTACGCACACAGAGGACAGGCACCCCTGGAGTCAGCCCAACATGAGTCCCTGGCCTGTCCCTCCACTTCACATCTGCAGGGTTTGCAGGGCACTTAATTTCCCTCAGTCTCGGCTAGCACATAAGAAGGGGAACGACAACAGGGCCTATCTGGTGAGATGCAGGGGAGTCCATTGAGATGATGGTGTGAATTGCTCTGCACTCGACTCATGGGCTATGTGACCACAACTGTTGTTTGGACCACGGTGTCCACTGCTGCTGGGCTGCGGGGGACAGCCGTGTGCTTCTTGGCATCAGCTGTCTTGTTCTGCTGTTACGCCCCGCATGATGCCCCGTGTTGCTGCCTGCCTTGGCAGTCAGGGTGGGAGCGTCCTTCACATCAGTGCTGAGAAACAGCCTGTGGAGTATTTAGTCTGCTGCTTACGCTGCGGGCAATGTGGCTTCCTTCATTCCTCTGCAGCAAGTGTTCCCGTGACCCACCTCTGCCCCTCTGCCCCCAGGGTTGCCCACCGAAATGCAGCCCCAGCTGCAATGTCTTCCTAGGGAATGCCGGGCACATGGAGGGACACGCTCTGGCCTGAGTTCAAATCCGTGGAGTGTGGAATCGCCCTGCCCAGGCACATATTCACAGAGCACCTACTCGTTGCGATGTGGCTTGGCCCACTCTACCCACTGCCCTCCGGTCTAGGATGCCTGGAGGAACCCCTGCCCTCTACCTGGCCGCATCTGGGACTCATTGGTGCTGCCACGACAGTTTGTTTACATGTAATTTCTGGCTAAGACTTGAAAGTTGAACTACCGCTCCATTCTCTAAACAGCCACTACTGTTGTACAAAAAGCAGGGCATCTCCCAGCTTGGATGTCGGACCAAAATATCTATTCCCAGCGCACCTCGTGAGAGAAATCAAAGGGGCTTGTTTACTCCCAAATGAAAACTTGCGAAGTTCAGAACCCCGCGGGACTGGCTGTTTCTCCGCGAGGCACATGCGGGCTGAGGAGCGGCGTAAGCCCGCAGACTTGTTTACGGAGACCGCCCTCGCTGGCTCTGAGTCAGACATCCTGAGACCCTCGGGCAGGCGTGGCGGGCCTCTGGCCGGGGAGCAGGGCTGTGCCTGGGAGGTGAGGGTTGGCGGCCTCCCCCGCGGCCCACCCCGCCGTCAGGACCTCTCCGTTTCCTGGCCCTTCTCTCTCTTCCCTCCCAGAGAAGGTGCCCAGGCCGGGCGGGTTATGAAAGAAAGTCTCCTTTGTTTCTCCTGAAAATGTTTTCCTTAGAAAGGGGATTCTCCTGTGTGCATCGTCCTGACCTCACGAAGCCCTGGTCATCGGGTTTCAGGACCGGGATTTGGACAGCTGCACACGCTGATTTGATCAGGTATCTGAGCAGGGCCGCGGCCCGCCTGGCCCAGGGGGGCCCCGGTGCACTCTGCTGCAGGCGCAGGCCCTGCGCGGTGCCCGCCCCTCTGCGCCAGCTGTCCGTCAGAGCAGGGCCTGCGGCCTGTGGTGGGTGGGGGGACTGGGAAGTGGGCCCTGCTTATCATGTGTCTGGTTGTGCCTCCAAGGTGTGTGGAGATGGCTGGGGGGAGGGACTGGTGGCTGTTGGGCTTCCAGTCCCCCTTCCCGGGGGCAGTGGGGTCCATAGGACTTCCGTCCAACACAGCTCTTGAGGCTGGTGGGTGGCGAGTTGTGGGAAGGCCCAGCAAATAATGTACAGTTGTTTCCAAAATGAGGCCCCTCAATACCACTGCTTCCTGCAGGCTGTGGGTGCTGGCTTCTGTCCACACAGTCAGCCTGACATCTAGCCTGTAAGCTGGGGGTTGGGGGAGACTCCTAGGATGGCCATAAACAAAGGGCCACAAACAGGTCTTCTAACAACAGAAACTTGTAGGTCTGGAGACCTGAAGTGTGCAGTCAAATGTCAAATGGAGGGCAGGGCCGCACTCCTTGCCAGATCCCTAGGGGTGGGCCCCACTCTGTCGCCCCCCCGCCCCCCGTCTGGAGTTGCCTGCCATCCTTGGCTTGCCACTGCATCACTCCCATCTCTGCCTCTGTGGTCACACATGTGTCTTCCCTCTGTGTACGCTGGCATCCAAATTTCTTCTTTATTAGGATGCCAGTCACTGGATGAGAGCCACCCTAATCCAGCCTGACCTCATCTTAAATCAACTCTATCTGCAAAGACCCTGTTTCCAAATAAGATCATGTAGACAGGTCCTAGGGGTCAAGCCTTGAGCACCCCCTCTGGGGGGACACAGTTCACCCCAGTGCAGAGCTGCTCTCCACAAGGGCCCTTTTTGCTTTGATGTCTCAGTGTCTCATCTGTAAAATGGGGTAATAGTCTCCCCTTCCTCATTGGGCTGATGCGCGACTCCATTGCTTCAGAGCTGTGCTTGATACACCGCAGAAAGGGGTACCAAGGGTGTATAAGGATGTATATGCTCTTACTATTATCGGCCACAGGGCTCCAAAAACACTGTGGAAGGAAGAGGATCAGAGTCAAACTCATGTCATACATTTCCAGGGCCTCTGCTCGCCGCTAGAATAAAACCTGAGTTGCTCCCAGGCTTCCCCCTGCTCAGCAGGCCCTGGCCCTTCCTCCTAGTGTCACATGTGCCTCGGGACTTTCTCCTGGGCCGGTCGCTGGTCCCACCGCCGGGCATGCCCTTCCCCAGCTTTCTGACGGACGGGCATCTTCTCCCCGCCAGGCTGTCTCTTGCTGGGTGACGCTCCGGCACAGCGCTTGCCGTGAGGTGCTATGCTCACGATTTGGTGTCTTCACTGCGCTCACACAGCCATTGGGTTGCATCGGCCAGTGTTTGCTATTATCTGAACGCATCTAGAACATAAACCCCATGCGGGCGGGAGCTGGCTAAGCTCTCCTTCTCAGGGTGGGCCTGGCACCCGGAGGCACTCAGGGTCCTGAGCAGACGACTGCGTGGGTGTGCGTGGATCCGCTGAGCCCCTTCCAACGGTGTGCCGTCTTGTTGGGGGCCCACCAGAAAGAGCAGATGCGTGGAAGAGCCCAGTTAGGCTCACCCAGCCTCACGCTTCCCTGTTCTATTTGTTTCCATTGAAGTTCTTATTTTGGAAAACATTGGGGCCTACTTGTGCCAAAATTGCCAGATATCACAGTAAACTCATGCATTTCCATCACCTGGAGTCACCTGTTGGCAGCATTTGGCTGTATTCATTCTCTCCCTCCTTCTCTCATCATCATCCTCGTGATAATTTCTTGTCTCTTTACTTTTGCTTGATTTTCTGAAAGTAACTTGTGAGATGTGCTGCTTTCTACCCGAGCGCGTCTCCTGGAACAGGGGCCTTCCCCACAGCGTGCTGGCCCCGTGGCCCCGCTGATGGCTTGCGCCGAGAACTCGGCATGCGCCCAGGGCTGGGTCCATGGCAGCTCCTCAGCCCGGCCTGCACCCTGGCGCCCCACCAGCAGCCGCACACGTCTCATTAGTCTCCTTGAACCCGGAGGATTCCTCAGCCTGTCTTTGTCTTCTATTTCATTGACGTTTGGCGAGAGCGCAGACCACGCTTTGCTGGCTTGCCCCTCTATTTGAGCTTGTCTGACAGGATGTAACCGATCTTAGGCATTTTTGGAAATCCAGGGTTTTTAGCAATGAGGGAATTTTCCATTATAAAAAAAGACCTCACCTTTCAAAACAGTAATAAACTGAACAACCTTGAGCCCAAATGCCACATGGCATGTTATGCAGTGTCCGCTCCACAGCCTCCAGTTTCGGGGACTCGAAGTGTGTCGTGGCGAGAGGGTGCTGCCCCCGCTCACTGTGTGACCGTCACTGCTGTGGGCCTCAGAGGACAGTAACAGAGAAGGGCTTGGACACCAGTATGTTTCCCAAGCGGTGGAGCCCAGAAAACATGATTCTTTCCCTCCAAATACATAAAAGACTGTAAATAAATCCTTCTGTTGCCAGAGGAGCCAAAGGAGGACAGCCCCTGAAGGGGGGCAGCTGGTGCATGGCCTGGGCCTGTGCGATAGCGGAAGGAGCTGGTGATAAGGGGGCACTGGCCAGAGGTGGCCCTGGAGCCCGTCCGCGTGGGGCCTAGTGCGGTGACATTTGTCAAGAACTCAGGTGCCGACAGCTCTCCGCACTGGGAGCGGCAACCTCAGACAGAAGGGAGGCCAGGCCTGTGTGGGGCAGGGTGCCTTGGCCAGGGCACCTCACTGGGACCAGGCCTGACCCCTTACTAAGTCAGAGCTGTGATTTTCCAAGTTTAGACATGGCCACGTTCAATGCTGACCACCCAGTAGGTCCCATGTTCCTATACGTGAAATAAATCCATAGATTATTGGATAAATTTGAAGTAACTGTTTTTGTTCTTCTCAACTAATTCTTGGCCTCGTTCTCCAGATCAGAGCTTCTTGACCCTCTTAAACAGATATCCCCTTCTGAGAAACATGGAAGCACATCCCATTCTACATGCAGATTTATACACCTGCTCCCCCAAAGGACTGCGGAACATAAGTTCTCCATAATAATTATGATCCCATCTAAACATCTCCACAGACCAAAATTACTTTGTCCCTCTGTTTCCAAGTATGTAATGCAAACATTACATAATATTGTAAAATGCAATAGTCTTTCCTATTCTACATCTCTACTCTAGAAGTTGTGATTATCCATCCTGAAAGGAGGGAATAGATGACACCCCTCTCTGGAGCATCTCCTGTCTAAATGTTATGTTTGAGGAACCCTGGGAGGGCCTGACCCCAGGTGAGTCGGCATCAGAGTTGCTGATCTGGACTCTCCACCACGAGGCTGGTTTCCGGGTCCAAAGCTGCTGATCTCGTAGGACCAGCCCCAGAGGGCCCACTCACAGCTCCGGATGCCTGGTGGCTTCCAGCCATGCTTCTCCCACGTGCAAGGAATGCTGACCTGTGGAAAGGGAAAACAAAACATCAAAGGGCCAGCCACCAAAAAATGCCCAACTTCAAATGAAATCATGCATGTTCCTAAAACACAAACAACAAAAAGAGGCATTTGGGGTGAGCCGGGCTGTTTATCTCCAAATCCACAATGTGTTTGTTGATAAAGATCTTAGTTGGAAACTTTCTTTCACAGAGATTAGGACAAATTTTCCAGTTAATAATTACAGGTATTAGACAACTGTCAGCTGATTGGGCTACTAGACAATGTGTGGAGGGTTTCCTCTTTATTTTTTGACATTGTAATAAGAGCATCAGCCGATTTCAAACGAGATCAAATAGAATAGCTGATTTGGATTATCCAACATAATGGTCCAATGTGCTAAATTAACTGTGAAATCTTCTAATTTTATTCAGGTATATAAATAAAGCTTTCATGCCAAGGGCACCTGATGGCATGTTTTCAACCAGCTTTAAGTAGGCTTTCAGTTGGGATAAGAGATCGTTGCTAACGTGGGTGCTGGAGCCAGATGCTTAGGTCCAGAGGCCGCCCTGCTGCTCCCTGGGTCAGCGTCCCTCTCTCTGCGTGCCAATTTGCTCCTCTGAACAAAGGGAATAATGATTATCACACCCACAGTGCGGGTTGGGAGACTACGAATTTAATTGGCACAGTTGTTTAGTACAGTTCTTGGCACATGGACAGCACATAGTGGAAGTTAGAGATAGTGATGGTGGTGGTGGTGGTAGTGACGATGCCCTTCAGGTGCACCGAGCACTTTGTGCCTGTAGGTGCCATGCAAGTGCAACATGAATAGACTTAGTTGATTCTCCCAGAATCATTGTTATCCCTGTCTTCTGCCAACAGTAGAACAGGCATAGGGGACTCCCCACCTGCCAGATGGACCGAGCACTCCCCCAGCCAGGGCTGTGGGCCTGAAGATGGACAGGACATGCTCTCTGCCTCAAGGGGTCCATAGCCTCCCCGCTCCCAGGCAGGCAGAAGGGTACCATGTTCTAGTGCTGGCATCAGGGGACGCAGGTGTCATTTGACCCTCATGGATGCCCTGGCCCTTGGTTGGAGCAGACACTGTCACACCCATGTAATTAAAGATCAATTGGTGCCCAGATGAGGCTCCCAAGTTGCACAGCTGGACTCAAGAGGGCCTCCTGACTCTGGTGCTTGGCTCATGCTGCCCCCAGGGCCGGGTCTCTCCCACCCCCGAAGTGGGGGAGCAGCCTGTGCCCTGCTCAGTAGGGCAGTCCCAAACAGCCCACTCTCCGGGGTGGGTCAGGGGGACCGCCAGGCTGGGCTGCTGTAAGGCGAGCAGGTGGAACGACAGCCAGACAGCCGGCCCCCTGCTAGGTCTTTAGGAAAGTGTAGCAAGTGGATGTGTTTGGAATGGTGCAGTCAGGGACCCCGTTTCAGGCAGGGACCGAGGGCTAGTTACGGTGTAGAAGACGGCACACTGACGGGGAGCCGGGACTGATGCTGGGGCTTCTACTCCTGGTCCACATGCAAGGCTTGAGGGCCTTCCACACAGCCACACTGTGGTGGGCCAACCCCACGGCCTGTGCTTGCAATGCCTTCCCACCCTGGCCATCCTCAACTAGCTGTATTTAGCCTGGAAGGAAACCCATGGCTCAAGACATGGAGTCCGGATAGTGCACGCAAACATGTTTCTGAACCTTGATTCTGAATGTTAGATGCTGCTGATTAACGTTGACTGTGGGATGACCGACCCTACATGTTTGCTTCTAAATCTGTCCACTAATGATTGCTTAGTTTACTAGAGAGAGGACCAGGTTTCAGTTACCATCTTGAGCTCAAAGCTTCACTTATTCAACCAAGGATTGCTGTCCTAACGTGGCTTTTCACACATTTTGCTTTAGGAGGTTAATTTTCTTTAGTCTTCTCATGATGCCTTCTGATTATTCTGAATGCCCTTCATAAGATCAGGGGGTTTTCTGTTATGTATCTGTCATTTATTTATCCATCCGAGCCACCTCCTGCAAAGGTTGGGCAGATACTTGTTAAGTAAACAAACTAATAACTAGACATCCTCAGTCCACAAACCACCACCCACATTAGATTGGTCCTTGATGTTTGCGACATTCAGTTCCACCCCCGGGGATTACAGAATCCCATTGTGAAATTGGTTTCATTTCTTAACCTGGAATATAAGCCATGCTTATTAAGCCAATGAATCACCAGATGGCTCTGAAAGATTTTTGGCTATTCTAATATTCAAACCAACTTCTAAAGATAAAGACTTGCCATCCTGAAAGATGATCAAAGATGGAGTCACACACGTATCTTTGAAGAGACAATAAGCAGGCATTTTTCAAAGACCCTTTCTTTCTAGGAGCTGCTTGGGGATTGACAAACCTGTGGGATGAGCGGCTATGTCCCCTCTTTAGTGTTAGGGAGTGTAGGGCCTGCACTTTGGAAATAGCAGTAATATAAGCTTTGAAAACTGCTACTTATTGAGGACATGTCGCTTGTATTTGGGCCTCCGCGGCTCACCCAGTCCCCCGCTGATCTGTTCACGTCACTCTGACCGATCAGGCATCATTATTTCCACCCTACAGATAAGAACACAGGTTGAGACAGGGCAGAAGTTCGCCCCTTGTCACATGACCATTAAGGGCTGGAGTCAGGATCTACACCCAGATATGCCAGCCTCTGAAATCTAGGCCATATGTAATCTACACTCACACCTGTCATCTTGTCTGATGCTTGTTCTCATGGGTGAGAGTCAGTCAGCTGGTAGGGGAGGGAGGGTGTGACAGGTCGGGGAGCTGTGTGCGTAAAGAAAGGGAACATGAAGCCCCTTTGGCTGCCTGAGGGAACTTTGGGGTGTCTGAGGAGCAGGGTGGAGAAAGGGGGGGTACAGGGGGGTGGGGGTGCCAGGGTAAGAAGCGAGAGGTCAGCGGTGCCCCTGGTGCTTGGCTCTGGCTGCTCCTGGAATCTCTGGATACTGAAGGCCCAACTCAGATCAGTTAAACCCCAACTTATGGGGGGAGCACCCCCCGAAATAAATGTTAGTGGTTTTTCAAAAGCTTCCCGTGAGGGTTCTAATGTGCGGCTGGATCTGAAATACACTGAGGTGGGTGGAAGGGCTGTGCTGGCCAGGATTATAAGGGCTCTGAGTCTGTTTTGATATACACTCTCTTTTCTAACTTCACTCCCAGGGAATCTCCTTTGTCCATGTACAGGCTCAGAGCAGGGGTGTCACATGGGTAAAGGCAGGGTGCTGGGACACGGGGCTGAGTGCCATCTGACAATGTCTTCCTGGTCAGCTTGAGAAACAGCACAAACCGTCCGTGAAATTTTACCTCTCCTCTGCCTGAGGGCTCCTGCTTGGCTGCCACAGAACCGTCAGCCTCTCAGAAAGTGTCTGTCTGCTCTAGAAAGGGCATGAGGCCCCAAAAGACACACACAGCTCCAGCCTGGAGCCGTTTCACACCAGAGCCAGCCGCACACACGGCCCTATCTCAGCTCCCTGGGGGCCCCGGCTCCAACCTGCAGGCAGGTGAGGTCCCGGTAAAGCTGCCCTACATTCTCT